GGTGTTCGTTATGGCCAAACTGTGATTAGCACAGAAGTCCAATAACAAAGCACCGCTCGGGTTCAGATCAGGGAGGCCATTCCTCCCAATCACGCCCCTCCAAGTCTCGCTGTCGTTACCCACGTGAGATAGCTGAACTGAGACACACAGCTGCAGAGGTCACTATTAATGCTGTAAAAGAAGCCTTTGCAAGACATGGAGTTGCCGAGACTGTGGTATCGGATAATGGGCCGCAATTTTCATCAGAACAGTTCAAGCACTTTGCCAAAGAGTACCAGTTCATACATGAAACGAGCAGCCCTAGGTACCCCCAAGCCAACGGGGAGGCAGAACGCGCTGTTCGTACCATTAAAGACTTGTGGAAAAAGGACTGTGACTACACCAGAGCACTGCTAGCGTACAGGGCCACCCCACTGGAACATGGGCTCTCGCCGGCGCAGTTGCTTATGGGGAGACACCTGCGGACCACGCTGCCACAAGCTGTGGCAAAGCTGGTGCCAAAGTGGCCTGCCCTACAGGCTTTTCGCAAAAAAGATGAGGAGGGGAGGCGTGAGCAGGCAAAACACTACAACCGCAGACATAGAGTCAGACCGCTTCCGGAACTATCGTCAGGACAGAAAGTGTGGATTACCACTGAAGGAACTACTGGAGCAGTAGTTGGACCTGTCAGTGCTCCCAGATCCTATGTGGTAGAGACAGACAGGGGTTTTCTGAGGAGAAATAGGAGCCACCTCAGACCAACAGGGACTATTACCAGATCTGGTCGAGTGGTGAGACCTCCTGAAAGACTGGATGTGTAATTCTCTGAAGTTATCCGTTCATGCCCTATTCAAAGATGGGTTAAGCTGTTAGAGATGTTTACAATAATGTGTTTCGTTTAAATGTAAATGAACAAATGAGGGATGTGTATAATTTTCACGTTTCATGAAGCTCCCCATTTCTGTTCTAGTGAGCTGTTTGAGTTGTTATGAAGTATGTCCTTAGCTAAAAGGAGGAGGTGTAGCGGTAGACTACTGTTCCCATAAGGCTGTGTGTGGGGGGAGCTTCTGGGTTACGAGTAAAGTTGGAAAACATCACCCGAACACGCTGCGTCCAGTGTCATCATTTATACGACTGTCATATGCAAAACTGGGGTGGCAGTTTTGGTGGCAAGGGATCGTTTTAGGGTGGCACTTGCCACCCCATGCCACCCTTCTAAATCCGTCCTTGCTTCACTTACTGAAAAACCTTTTAGAAACTGTAGAATTCTCCAGCATGTTTTGAAACACCATCCAGTCATGTATTTTAGCCAAAGTTATAATTACCAGATTTTGATGCACACTTTCTTCAACACTAAAGTAATCCAGTGACAGTTTTCTGTATTTCCACTGCTTTGCAGCAAACAATATCTGTTTAATTAATAATTCGGTAAACTTTATTTTTCACGTTGTAAACAAATATGATTCAAAAGAGCATTTTCTGTCTCTGCCACATCGTTGTTTAGTTTAGTAACCTCAAGTGCCCATCAAAGTGACCAACAGAAACCCTGGCCTCCACTGGGTTCCGCCTCCATACTGTCAAAAGTCAAATGTGATTCGCGCAAGCAAAACTGTTTTGGGAGCAAAAGTGACCTTCGCAAGCAGAAGCTTGCGGGCAAATTGGCTTCTTTGTGCGAGTGCCTGCTGAGTCTACGTGCGGGGAGTTGTTGGATTCAAGGGAAGAATTTAATTGCAGCGCTGAAATAAAAATATTTACTCCAATTATATTTTCTTTTTTCACGCAGGAATTTTGATATAAAGATCATGTCATAAACATTCAGAAAAGATGAAAAGAGGAAAAAGGTATCAGTGGCATCCACATGTAAAACCGTTACTGTTTTGGTGTTATCTAATTGTTGTCCCTAATGTTAATTAACACCAAAGCAGCTAAAAGTGATTAACAACCCCTCTGATTAAAAAGTGTTCCCTTTTTTGAGCAGTATATAATTTATCTAACACAATAATTTCAATTTGTAAAAATGTTGGCTTTACATAAATCAGCATTGCTACATGAAGCAATAGGACAAATTGTGAGTTATCCTCTATTTTTCAGTATCACTCATCTTGCTAAACTATTTGAAATACAAACCTTTAACTTAACTCAGCTAGGCAATTAAAGAGAATATGTATACAATAAACTCACCTTGAGCATGATATGACATCGAATGGTATCTGTTTCCTGGGTTTCAATGTCCCTTGGCACAGTATTTGTACCTATTAAATTCTTGTTTGGTGTAAAAATAGCATAGATTACATCTCCACTTTTAATGTGTCTGTCTTGTAAAGACCCTGTAGGTAAAATTTAAAAAGTTGCCATTTTACCTGTTTAGTTTTCTACTTTTTCAAGCAACAATTTCTCCCGCAAGTTTTTATTCTTATTTAAATATGACAATAATGTATGCTATTAAAACAAGAAATCTTGCTTTAACAATATGTGTAACAACATAAACCATCTTTTGATGGGATCACACCAATGAAAATATGTGTCAGCATGCAGAGAAATTAACAAATTTGTTGCCACCCACTATATTCTTATTCAAACCTTATTTTGATGTTGCAGTGTTGAAAACGATAAAAACGCAATGAATTATAATTTTAAAACAACCCTAAAAGCTTGTTAACATCATCTCAGGGATGTATACTAGGAAAAAAAGTGACTATCAATCTCACAAAAGTCTCATTGACTCCTTGGACTAACAGGCGATATGAATTCTCTTGAAGGAAAATACAGGAAGGAAGTGAAGTCAGTGTGGGCTAAAAATGGATAAATACACATACAGGCCTTAGTTAAAAGTCATAACACTGGGTTGCCTCGACATGCACTCGTATATTGTATGGGATTTCTTGAATTTTGTGTTCATTCTTGTGAACTCACAAAAAGGATGGGGAACACTGCACAAATGTAGTTTTAGTTCCTGCCTCTAGGTTGTTGTCTTATATGTAAGATTTGTCAGATATCTACAATTTTGCCTTTAGTGCTCCCTTTTGGATTTGTGAGCACTGCTAACTGAACATTGTGTATTATTTTAAGCATTTAGTAAAGATTTTGATTTCAGACTTAGTCCTCTTTTCTAAACTGTCCTATTGTATTCTTTATGTTATACTGCTCTATTATAGTACTGTGTATTTTGAATATATGTTTGCTGAAAATTGAAAGAATACCTTCTCATATCCTATTCTAATACTTAACACTGAATGAACTTACATGTGTTAAAGAAAGGATCATCTGTCAAAGGCATTCCATCCACTGTGTAGAGACAGACACCTATGGAGCGATCAACACGTTCAAGGTGACAAATCCTCAACATTAGATCTTCAATTGTGTTTTGTGCTGGATCCATATCTGCAAATTTAATATGCCAACATTACAAGTTTGATATTGATGTGACTATTAATGAAAGATCAGATTTTCCCTAATCAAAACTAAGCATCATATTAATTGTAACACACAGAGTTGTACAATTGGTAAGTATATTTAGAGTCATTAACAGCCCTAGTTTTAATCACACATGTAAAAACCTACCACACAGTCACGCTCTGGGGTTTGTGCTTATGTCAAAATGCAGCATAGCTGCACTATGAAACATTCAATTCTGTTGCTACGTCTTGTTGCATGCTCAATCATCCAGGAAAGTAAATCTCCAAAAGTTTATTCTGTTCATCTGGACGTAGCGTTTTGTGGGAGAAACGTTTCGTCACTCATCCAAGTGACTTCTTCAGTCT